TTAAACAAATTATACATATCATTTGTCAGAAGGACATTATCTCCTTTATGTGACAAAATACGGGGAAAATACTATCATTGGATTAAGAATTGGATGGATCACAGACAATAGGTCAGTATGCTCTCAGAGTAGACTGATATGTAAGTTGTATCAAGAGAGGTATTTCAGCATAAATAGTAGTTTATGCAGTAAGAGATCGTATAGAGGATATTGTAACTATGCTATTCTGTACTGAGTCCTGAAAGGGACACCAATGAGATCGCGGGGTTGGTAGTGTTATGTCTCAAAGAGACAGCCGATTATATGACAGTGACTTATCGATCGGATCAAGGATTCAGAGACTCAATAGTTTATTCTGGTCCGTTGTCCCCAACACTGCTAACTCGATCAAAAAGTCTGGGTAAGGTGTAGAAAGTGTGTTCTACAGACAAACAGCAGATAACAAGTCAAGTCAAGCACACAAATCAAGCGTATTTATACAAATATTTACAATCGATATTGTCATGGAAGATTTTTGAACATTAATCAACAATTGACTGCTATTTGAACATTTAATCGATAGTTCATCAATTGACCTATTTGTACATTTAATCGATAGTTCATCAATTGACCTATCTGCACATTTAATCGATAAGTAAATTACAAAATTTGAGTTTTGGGGATCTATCGTCCCCAACAGGTAGGTATTCAATTAGAAACTGAAATAAGGGATCTTGTGACCAAGGATTTAAATTACGAACTAATTCAACAGAAAAATCAGCGTAAGTTAAAGATCTATAATGACCGTCCAAAATAAAATGTCGCTCAAAATTACTGAACAGGTTTCATATAATTTCAGTAAGTAATGAGGTAAATAAACATTACCACAAACTTATAATAGTGTTATTTAACGAGACAAAATTCCAAACAATATAATGACTTGAATAAATCTATTAAAATGAAATTGCCCCCTCTTAATATTGCTATCGAACGACTAGTGAGACAAAATATTAAAAATGTTTACATGAAAGGTAATTTTATATTTCCTTAGTTAATCATTATTCGATTATGATTCACCATGACATTTTTCATTATTTGATACATTCAATCAGTTGTTCGAGAGTTACACAATAAATGGTTCTTCTGAACAAGTTCCATTTTGGCTACCTCTAATATATTTATCTGATTAGTTGTGCTATCATAAAAATCATTAGCACAAACATCAACTCTAACACAAGTGACTTGATACTTTGAAATGTTGTATGCAGCAAACATTATTTTTATTATAGAACTTCACAACAGTGAGAATCTAATAAAATTTCTTTTCTAATCTGACTTTGTCCAATCATTGTTTTCACTATAACTCATTTATCATGTATAGGTTTATAAACTAACCGTTGAGATAAACTTTGTTATTACTTGACGGTCAGTCAACTCGACCAACCAAACCGTAGTACATAAAGTCGAATTCGTTACCGTAAGCACTTTGTTTAAAGTCACACTGTTGAAGGAATTACCAACAGCTTCATTGTTGTTATTAGAAAACTGTTTCAGTGTCCTTTGTGTTAATTTATAAAACAACTACACCTAATATTAGTTTATAACAAACAAACTCATCTCTTACTTCAGTATTATTAGTTGAGAAAATGCATTAAATTATCAAAAGATTGGGAAAAAAGGAATAAGTCAATTCCACACATTTTAACTTATGTTCACCCTTATTTATGTTGATAGTTATGTAAACGTGAGAATAAATTACAATTAAATTATTGAATTATTAGTTGTGTAAATATATGAAATTTAGCGTGACATAATTAATCCAAGGCCATTTGTGAATCTGCACAGATAATTAAATTAACTGTTTTAATGAACGCTGTGGGATTGAAAGAATACGACATATTTACAACTATTCATGAATACACATAAATTTATTACCAGAGTTAAATACTGTGAAAGTTAACTTGGAAAAATGTTACAAGTTTTTTTAGTGGTAAACAACGTCATGTTCGTTTAGTCTTTTAGTGCTGATAGAATTTTATCGACTAAGTTGCAGCATGACAATTAGTCCAAATGATTCGACATGTAAGTTGAGATGTTCGGTAAACGGAGGAAGCCGATAGGAAACCTTGGACCTAGGTTTCGTGTTACTTCGTAATCATCAGCAGGGTATACCTTCAATTTCTAGGGAACTTATGCCCCTGGCGGATTTAAATTTGTATCACATAGTTTCATAGTCTGAATTATTACGACTGAGCTGTTTGGTAAACGACTGACCCATATGATTGAAACATTCATAATGGGTTGGTCACTGAGTGGTTACCAAAGTCATGTTTGACTAATCCTTTATTGAGAAACGAATGAATTTGTTCAAGTATATAGATAATATTGAAGAGCCTATTATTTAAATGTTAACGTCACAATGAAAAAATCGAACCATTAAGGTTTAATTCAATAACAGTAGCGAATTCCACTGACAAGTGGACTGAGTCATGTTGGTAGGTGTAGACTACCTAGTTGGGGTCCACGAGATGATAGCAACCGATGGTTAGAGACCTTGAATGACATGGCTCAAAATCGTTTGCAATAGCGCAGGTGCATCCACACTTTGTGTTCTCTCAAATTCTAATCTTCTGATTTCTTCGTGTCCCTTTTTTCCGCCTTCCAAATTTATTTCACTGGATTGTACTCCTGTAATAACGTATTCAAACCCTAATCTTTCCGACTACTGCTTATACTCTTAATATCTCTACCACTATGGAATTTGAATCGAAAACTGCATATTTGTGCTAATGTGGTGTGGCAGCTCGAACTGATGTACGTACGTACGAAGTTCTACGTTGTTACTGATTGACTGAGTAGCGAATTTCAATACCATTATTTATATCAAAGAAACAGTAATTCTAGTAAACACTGGTAAAGAAACTATACACTTTTGACTTGTGATTTTGCTTTCTGGCAAACATAAAGATTCTTAAAAGAAATCACAAAACAATATTAAATTGATGGATAATTAATCAGAGCTAAAACGAACATAATGATAAATCCTCTTCATTCTTGAAGTTACGATGGGTAGAAGTGAGAGATTAGAGGTTACTTCCCAACATTTATTGTCCACAGTGAACCAAAGGTCAAGCGCTCGCGTTAGAAATCGAAGGTTCCGGGCTCAATTCCCACGTGAGGGCTCGTGGATGCAGATTGCTGGGGAATCCCATAGTAGGACGAAACGGCTATCCAATGCCTCCTGGTTTTCAATGATCGTCTAACACTGATCAGTTCATGATTTCAGTGAAAATTTTAAAAATCTCCACAACCCCATTATATATATATATATATATATATATATATATATATATATATATATATATATATATATATATATATATATAATACAATTGTCAGTAATTATCGTATTAATTTATATTGGTGATTTTTTCTTATTTCTGAAGTATTAAGTGTGAAAACAGTTTAACCGGCTTCATTATTTCTCTAAAGTAATTTTTTACCAACGACTAAATCAGTATACGCTACTTAATATAATGAGTTATAGAAAATAGATAGGTAAGGATATTCATAAACATACGCTCATAGGTATTATGAAGAGAAAACATGAACGTCTCAACTATTCCTCATCAAGATTAAGTGTCTACAAAGATAGAATAAGTGCTTACTGTTATGATTATGCAGATTAGCAAATAAATGTATGGCTTTCACTGGTAATATGTTTCTTACTGTTGACTGGTCACTGAGTAGTGAACAGGATCATATTTGTCTAGTATTTTACTGCTGATAGAACTCTATTGATCAAGTTGCAATGTAGACTCCAATTGAAGTGACTCGACATCGTGGGTACTATGTTGAGGTGTTAGGTAGTTGGAGCTGGTCAACAACAAACAGTTAATTTAGAACTTATGCTGTTTATGGTACTCGTCGGAATAACGTACCTGGAGTTTTAAGATAATGCCTTTTTGACAACTGTCAACTGACACAAAATCTAGGTCTCGGTGTTCTCTGTAGATCCACTGAAACTAACAAACAGCTACTTTCCTTTTAGATTATTCAAGGATTTGTTTAATCCAAGCTAGAATATCATGAATCAACAAACTACGAGGAATTACTATGAATAACTTAATGGAAGAAGTGTTGTAAAGCTATCAGTCACCTGGAATTGACAAGGTTTGGATTTGTAGACAGGCTATATTACTTTTCTGTTGACTTAGAATCCCAATATTTTTCCATATATAACTTACCATAGATTTTTCGAACCATACTCCCAATATAAGCAAAGATGGATAGTGGCTAGCAGTGGAATCCAGGACGCGCGTTTCGTCCTATTTGGGACTTGTCAGCTGGATGTACCTGCATCTGAGAGAGTTAATGTTCACTCTGGGACTCAAATCCAGTACCATTCGCTTCAAACTCCATCGCGTTATACACTTAGCTAGTGAGTCCTGATGGCCACTTGCTTGTACAATGGGGTGAAGTTTAATTCACTTGGAATTGTTTTACTTGAATCTTCCCATTGAGTCCCAAACAGGATGAAACGCGCGTCCTGGATTCCACTGCTAGCCACTATCTATCTTTGCTTATAATGCTTGTAAATTAAGGCAATATCGAGGCATACGCACAGTATGCACATATGCCAATAAGAGACTGATCAATTTCAGTCCTAAAACATCAATGGGAAGATTCAAGTAAAACAATACCAAGTGAATCATACTCCCAATGTTTAATCATTCTCCTTATTTGTGCTTCTACATTATTTCGATCTATTTGCCAGATGTATCATCAATTTTATCGCTTCGTCCTGATGTGTTATGAGGACTTAGGCCAGCGTACGCCAGCTCCAGGCTCTATGTTGTTGATGACTGACTAGTGAATGTTTAGCACTTTTTATACAAATCTAGAATTTTCTTGAAGTTAATATCTGTGATACTAATTATAGTCAAGAATTCATTAGTCATACGTGGTTTCCATATATATATATTCCCAAAAATTTAATAAATGATTCAAGCCTTTAATAATGAGTACATATTTTAATAGATGTTAACAATCAAAATTAACTGTTAATCTGATAATGATTAACATCCAAAATAAATTATTATAAACATACAAATGATAAACAATCACATTTAACACTATTGGATGCTTGCTCAGCGGTCTACAAATCAAGCGTTTGCACGCGAGACTGAAAGTCTTGGGTTCGATTCCCGGTTGCGAGGTCATGAATATGCACTGTAGAGAGGTCCTATACTAGAATGAAATGGGTGACCGGCGCTTCCAGGTCTTCAATGGTGATCTAACTTACATCGATTCATGATTCTAACGAAAATTATAATCCTAATTGAACTCATTTATGTTGTTACATTCTTCTTCTTTGTAAAAACTCTTCTTAATTAGATTACTGTTTCAAGGATAAATTAGAAAGGAAAACAAAGGCTGGGTAAAATATCCTTTTTGTTCTGTAATTAGAACACGAAAAGCATGTGTACATACATATACATGCACAAAAATATACTCCAAAAAAGAGCAATGCATAAGTAAAAACAACACAAAATTTATTTGCTTATTTTTACACAATATATGCATTATTTACAATTCAATATGAAAAGTCATCACACACAAAGTTGACCTTTCCCCACCCTGCCTACATGGAACCATTTATAAAAAGAAATGCATAAAATAAGTAAAAAAGCGTAATTAGATCGAGATGGTCAAAGAGAAGAGATAGCAAAAAAGCAGATGAAGAAACCGGGATCCCAGTTTGCTTTTTTTTATAGTAAATAAAAAATATCTACATGAAACGAAAATGAGAAAGCCCCATGGGGTGGCAGTAAACAAACAAACAAATTACAGGATATAAAATAAAATAAAACTTCGCACTGTGTTCAAAAATTAACACAAGCGATGGGCAATTGTAGTAGTGGGTTTATGTGTGTGTGTGTGTGTGAGCAGCATTGTGAACAAGGTAGTCAAGTCAGTAATACTGTAACAGACAGTATACAACCAAATAGAGCAAAAATTATTACAAATCAAAAGTTAAGGTTAACATTTCCATATGTATGTGTGTATGACATACATTTATGAAGAAGTAGAAAGAAAATATCAAGGTGGATTGCCTCTGTTCAGTTCAATGTTCAAGAAACAAATGAAAACAAATTGAAATACATCCTATTAATTGACTGGTTGATTAATCGGTCTATCAGTTGGTTTAAGTTTGATGAAAAGGTAGAAAATAAAATTCCAAAAAAAAAATTAAGACGGAAGTCTGAATAATCTAGGATTGCAGTAATGTAAATATTGCCAACAAAAGAAAAATAATAACTATTTATTTTTGCATTAAATTAAAATGTAGGTCATCAGACATATGTAACTGTTCAAAGTTGAAATGGATTCTACATTAAGTAGACAAATTAAATAGTGTTTACAAAATAGAAATAAATAAAACAACATTTTTGGAGGTTAAAATTGATTTGTAAATAAATAGGACAGATAGGATCAGGCGCTAATTATTTATAAGATAAATTTATACAAATAAACATAAGGAAGCGAACAATTAAGCAAGTAAGCAGGTACGTAACAGAATATGCCTATCATCATCATTAATAATAATAATAATAAAATAAAAATAAGAAAGACCAATTATTATATTGTTTCATTTTCTTGCTTAATTGTACACTTACCAATAAAAATGCGGTCTATCATATGAAACAAAATGGATTGAATTTGAATAAAATTACAAAATTTGAAGTGAATTTTTGTTTGAAAACTGTAAAAATTCTCATTGATGATGATCTAGAAGTTAAGGTTATTCGAAATATATAAATGCCATTAAATACGAGGAAATTCGATCCATCATTAAAAAGGATGCCCCCCCCCCGTTTTTTGAGAAAATAGAAAAGTAACAGGAAATATTAGAAGATAACTTATTCAATTAACAGTTGAATATAGTTAATTCAATACAGAAAATAATTGATTAACAGTAGACTTGTAAACATACAGATGAAGACAATGATTTTTGTCTATCAAAAAAAAAAATCAAAAGCCACATAGAAATTATTTCGTACGAGAACAGCATAGAGCTGAGAAACAAGTACAAAAATGTGGACGTTGATGCTTTGAATTGATAATTTTATGAGATACAGCGCTAGAATCCACACTATAATGACTATTAGTTGTTATAGATATTGGTGTTTTTGTTGTAAGAAAATCATCATTCTTTATATCATTCTGAGTACATTGTGTATTAGTTGATATAGATGTTAAACAATCGGATTTAACAATATTTTCTTGTTTAAATGAATGTTCTTTACTTGAAAACTTGGTTTCAGCACTTGATAAACCAGATTTATTAAGCTTTTCTAATCCCGATGAAACACCACTTGTTGTTATTTGTTCTTCAGTGTCTACTGGGTTATTATTATTATTAATTATTGGTTGATTATCATCGATAGGCGGACCATGAGGTCGGTGTTTACGCTTAAACAATCTACTGAAAAAACTTTGACTATGAGTGGAGTTTTGTTGAACAGGTGGAGTATCTGGATTTAAATTATCTACTAAAGTTCCATCAGATTTATAAAATTCATTTAGATCATCGAAGCAACCAGTTTCTAACATCTAAAAGAAACGAAAAGCAAGATGATAAGAATTTATAATAAGAAGGAAATATATGATAACAATGACTATTTATTATTAATAAGTAATCATTATCTGGGATTGTAAGAGAAAACTGAGATCAGTGGTTGAATACTTTAGGTGATATAGTTCAAGATTGGTCATCAAGTTAAAAGAAAATTAGACAATTGACGGTATTTATGTGGTGTATGCTATGTACGTTGACAGATATAAGTAGTATGTAGCAGCAATAGGAAGTGGAATACCTGTCAGAAGGTTGAATTGAAGAGAATAAAAAAAGAGACAGAAAGCAATTGTAATAACAACAGAATTGAAAGAATCGTGAAACATGTAAAGGACAACTGAAGAAAAATTTGTAAATAATGTATTTAATGCATGATTTTCATATTTTACGAAGCCAATAGTGTTAATGTCTAACCTCAGCCGATCCACGAAATTGAGCGACCATCTTCCATTGAACTGAGGTAGATACCTGTCTCTACCTGACCTAGTTTTCTACCAACCAGAACAACACATTTATTTAAAGGCCGAAACGCTCTTCTAACGACAGGTATCAGTGAAAAGAGGAAAACAAGAAAGGTTTTCTATCCTGACCTACTTATCTTCTTACGTATAACACTGATAATGCCCATTCAATAATTGTAGTAAAAGCGATGTATGTTTATAGTGAATCTTTGGATTGATCCTGAATTCTACCTGATTTCACTAAACATTCAATAACGTCATTTGATGTCAACCACTTGATTCACTATTGAATATTTCATAACCACAAGTACTGCGTATCAACATTTTCTACACCAAAGAAAAATGTTTCATTGCAACTATTTTGTTACTATATGTTCAACAAATTCTATATATTAACAGACTTTTTTACCCACTGTAAGATAAATTAGTGATCCTATAACAAGCATGAGGTTTACAAAAAGTCAGACAAAGAAAGTGTTTTCATACAAATATATATTTTAAGGAATTTGTCTGAATTCACAATTTCAATAGAACCTGGCACATATAACATCGGTTCAATTCGTCAAACTCCATTATAGCAGAGAAAGATAAAACTATCCAGACAAATCTTACAGTAGTAGTAACAGTATCAGCAGTAGTATAAAGAATTATGTTTAGAAAAAAGAAACAAAAAGGCATAAGGAGATTTCGGGATTCAAGAACTAAGGGAAGACAGCGTGAATGCACCTGTGACATCACCAATGGTCCTGAGCCATATCACTCAAAGTCTCAAGTCATTTATTTAAGTAGTCGTGTGAACTCTAATCAGGTAGTCTACACATACCTATAAAGTTCAGATTAATAGTCAATGACCTCATGGACTGGAGACATGTATTGGTCCGGTCACTCTTAACTATCTTCCAACCTACTTCTACACTAGACAATACCCCCCGTCGGGGTAGACGGTGGTTGTGTATACGTAACACATATCCCAACCACCTCAGTTGATGAAGATTTATTTCATCAACCGATTAGTCATCTTTATTTAGTGTCCTATTCCTAATGCATTGTTCACTCGATAGTCCCAAAATACACGAGCGATGGTACGAATAGAACTATGCTCAGTGACTATTAGCCTACGAATATTGTGTATTTTTAATAGTCGTGCTTCAAACCCATAAAGTAGGACAGGGCGAAATGTTGTGCAGTGAACTTTTCCTTTGGTTGATAGAGGGACACTTCACTCAAGCTACAGGAGACGCAGGTGGTAAAAGCCAGACGGGCCTTCTGAATATGTGCGAAGATTTGATCAGGAGCATATGTATTTGGTGTCTCTTTGTACTAATGTTTATGTGTCTAAACAGGTGAATATAACTTCCCAGGAATGATGAGACTTCAGAGACAAGTAAACTAATCAACTGACTCAGATCAGCTTTCAATGACATGAAAAAAATTTGTTACAATGGAATTATATATTATTGATACAATGAGTTTTACTCCTTTGATTTTCATTTAGATGAAGGACTGCTGCTTACACTTTTCTCATAGTTGAATATATTCACAATGATTAATATTATACACTTACTTCATTCTGCCATGGTATACTGACAGCACCAGAACAAAACTTTTTATAAAATTCCATATCTTTATTGTCTAAAGTAACACCTTTAATTGTAGAGAACTGTTCAATATCTAAAACATCCTTTGCGTAAACTGCATGAGGCTGCAAGATAAAGACAAAAAATAAATAGTGAAAACTGAAAACAAATGAACAAACAATTGGTAAATTCGAACTTCTTTATTGTCATACATGTACTTCCTAATGAAAACACTAGGGTAGCCGATCTCGGTCAGGTAACTTAACCAGCGAATGAGTTAACATCTACCAGCTTGGTTTATAAAGGGTAAGATAAAAACAATTCGCAGTTCTATCTTGGCATATCTTATTGATAGCGGTCATGCTGTAGATAAATCGAAATCATTTCGAGTGATCTATTGTATACCTCCGTCATTTCCTAACGGAGTCCGTTCCCGCTTCCTACATATAGCTGAAGCCATAGGAATTCGTACATATAACCCCAATTTATGTGTACAGAAGAAATTCGTAATCCCCTATCCCTTCCATGGCCAGTTATAACTTAGCAAACGACTTTTTTGATTTTTATTATTATTTATTTATTTTATTATATTTTTGTTATCGTTAACCTTATTTTCACATCCATTATTTGTTTGTTACTTTCCGCCTCTTTCCGTTTGTATTCTTCACTATCTAATTATTTACACACTTCTTATTACGTAATGATTTTAATGTTTTGTGATGACTATCCTAAGTCTATTTACCCACGTTTGACCTTCTATTTCCAACGTTTAACTGTAAGACTTGTTATCGTATTTTATTATTCTTACCACTATCAGTACACCTGTTTTCCTACTATCAACACGAATTATGTGTGGTGACTTATTCTATTTCATTGTGATTATTGACCCATATTGCCTTGATTGGCTTAAAATTTTCGTATAAATATTCATGTATATTAGAGTAAAGCCTGATGACAATCTAATCGAAAACAATTGTTCGCTTATATGTGTTGTTCTACTTTTCACAATGGGAATCTTTAAAATTGATAAATTAACAACAACCAGGTTAGGTTAAAGTACAATGATTTCATTGTTATAAAAGTAAAAAGATATCCATTCACTAAAGAAAAAAACCAATTTCAAAATTCAATATGTAAAATTTAAGTCAAAAGTGGCGGATATGGCCAAAACTAAGTCACAATTATTAAAAATAATAGAAAGGAGTCAGTGAATAAAATATTCTTTTCGACGAAATCATTTACTTAAGCTGTGTATTCGTGTCTATAGTTACTTGATAAGTATGAGTTTGTAGAACAGAGATTGCATCATAGAGTAGTGATCCGAGATTTCAAATATTAGAACGTTGTGTAAGAAGGCGAAAATAATTTACGCGTCGGAATTATGACAATTTTTCATCCAATAATCTACGTCAAAAGAATTGAATTAGAGGGAAGTTAAATCAAAACCTTATGCATTACTGAGGCATTGATGATCCATCAATCAAGGGTAGTCTTTCATCCCACCATGAGTCTAATTCCCTTCTCCAGTATGTTTTGGTCTTGTTTCTGTTTTTATTATTATTTTGTAATTTTTTTAAAAACCATAATCAGTGATTAGTATCGTCTAAAGATCTTCTATGATTATTATTCAATTGTTATCAAGACTTGTACGCTTTGTATTTCTTCTTCATATATGTTAAATGGACAACCTTCTTTTGATATTTGAAATTTCGGATCACTATTTTATGGCACAATCTCTTTTATCCTTCTATAAACCCATATACTTACCAAATAACTACCAATACGAATATGCAACTTAATTAAGTGATTTCGTCGAAAACAATACTTGCTTCGCTGAATTCTTTTTTTCTATTTATATTCAATGATATAATTAGTAATACATTTCACTGAGTACATATCGACGTACATGTCATCCAATCACAATTTGTGGATTGAAGGGAGGAGAAAGGTGAACGGAGAAGACCGAGTGGTATTAGCCTATCTTAACCAAAGCCCACGGAATGAGGTCTCTAATTTCAGTTTGTAATGAAATGTCTAAATCACTGAGTTGCACTAAATAACCAAGTGTAAATATTATGAGTATTGAGGTTTGGACATTAATAACTTATTTTCTAATTATTTAATGTATGTAACAGTTATTGTTTGTATATTTTTATCTAATTAGCTTAACTGAGTTATTTAAAGAGAAGCTCACAACTGATCAACTATACACATACAAATAGGTGAGAAATTCAGACAAAACTATTGCAGTGAATGGTATATTTTTATCTTTGTTTATCATTCGAGAGAGCGAAATCCAAGTACATTAGAATTTATGAACGTTAATTCAAATAAATATCCTCTACAATACCCTAATTTAATAAATGTAACATATGTAAGCTAAGAAAGTTTAAGTAAAATAATAATAAATTTCAAATTACCAGTAAATTTACAACCTATTGATCAATGAGCAGTGACCGATGTCATGTTCATCCATTCCCTTTAATGCTGGTTAAATTCTATTGATCAAGTTTAAAACTAGACACCAGATTCAGTAACTCGATATTTTGTAAATTTTGGTTTGGTGTTATGTCGTTGGAGATATTCAGCTTAATTTGATCATTACTAAAGGATTGTACGCAAACATGACATTGAACCCTACTCGGTAATCAACCAATGCAAATAACGAAGTACTACATGTTGCTAATCGTGACCTGAATAGCCCAGTGATAGCGTTTTGGATTGTGGATCTGGATAATCCGAGATCCAATCCCACAAAGAGCAATACTACAGAGGCTGAGATTGGTGTTCTGAACTTAACTGGCTGGGCTAGGCGGAAAGCAGGACCGATCAGGACTCTATATTGCTCGCACGGGTTTTACGCGCCATTGGTTAGATCGATAATTCACTGCTCTATAATTGGCGGTCACAAGTATAACAATAAGCTCAAGTTGCCACATTTTATTAGCATAGAGAGATGACATAGTCAAGGCAAATCCCATAGTAGTAAATGTAGTGATATTATCGTCGGTAAAAGAAAATATTAAGCATAAAAGATATGATTCGAGAAGAAAATATAAATCATTGAAGTAAAATAATTCTAAGGAATTCAAAAGCTCCGAATATGGGGGGGAGACATATAATGGATGCACCTGCACCATTTCAAATGATTTTGGATCATGTCATTAGAAGTCTCTAACCAATTTTTACGATAATCGAAAGGACCCTGACCACGTAGTTTATACTTTTTAACATGGCTCAGTTCAATTGATAATGACATCACGGGCTAACGTCATGTTTGGGTTTGACCGCTTCTAGTTTTTTTCCGGCATACAAAAAGATGACGTTTATGACCATTTAATATACAAATCAATTATTTTTCGTAATTTTCCCATTTTACCAATCGATAGCAACACTTTTCTTTAAAAAAACCCTGATAAATCGGTCGAATTAGTACGCCCTAGGAATCATTTTGCTTTAAAAAGAAAAAATAACAACACGAACAAAACGGTTCTAAAATGTGACCAAGTACACGTCTGTGTACTCAGCTTTTCTGTATATTTAGTGCGTGAGTTTGAAGGATAGCTAGTGATACTATCCGTAAAAGTGAACAAAGCGCTTTTTTTAATTAGAACTTAATATTTCAAAGCCATATGGATTAGCTATTAATAAAGATTTTTAAAAAGACTTCATTATCATCGTAATTTAAATGACGAGCAGTTGTTAGTTAGATCACTACTGAAAACCTGAAAGCACCGGACGGCCGTTTCACCCTAGTAATGGGACTTCTCAGAAGAGCGCATTCATGACCTCGCAGCCTGGAACCGAACCCGTGACTTTCAGTCTTACGGGCAGACGCTTAACCTCCGAACCACTGATTCGGAATTCAACGGTGTTAATGTCACAGAAATGCGTAAACCATCCATTTTCTGTGGTGGATTACCGTCTTACACCCGACGTGGTTGAGTCCCATTGGTCACGGATTCTCACTAGAACTCCAAGAGTTCCATCTTGAAGCTAGTCACTAGTGAGCAGATCATTATTATTAGTATAGTGGAATTTGTTACGATTGAAGAATTTTCAGCTTAAAACATTGTTCATGAATACAGGGTCGTGGATGTACACCACTGAGGAAACCCACGCTGAGACGAAACGGTCACCTAGTGCTTCCAGTTTTTCAATAGTGGTCTAAGATCAGCTTGTAATTTAAGCCATGAAAATTCTGCAATCCACACAAGTCCCCCTTGACTTCTATATTGATTGATTCATCATGGTCATATAAGATCATAATTTGCTTTCAAAGTATATCATAACTAAACACTACACTAATAATAACATAATAAACGCGAAAGTTTATACATCAAATCACTGAAGAAAAAACCCTTGTTTACCTAACAATAATAAAGACAAGACATAAAATGATATTGTTTTACTATCAGCATCCATTAATTTCAAGAGACTAGAAGGAATGAAACTAGGCAGACTAAACTGTAGGAATTAATATCGTCGTCATCATCATCGAAAAAATCACGTAATCACGAAAAACTAAACGACAAATTTATCAGGCTAGTATGCAAATATACACACCATTATAGATCAAACAACTAAGAAATTTGACGTAATGAAGTTATAATTTCAGACGTACATGTTGAAGCGAACACATAATTTAGATAATACGTTACAAGTTAGCAAAAATTAAATCTATAGCCTAATGATTTTAAAATTAACAGTCATCTGTGAAAGCATTAAAGGCTATTTCAACGATTAAAACTTTGATGAAAAAACTGGACAGTCGTTTCGTCATAACATGGGACTCTTCAACAGTACACATCCGCAACACTCCTAGGGACCAAACGTAACATGTTCAGGTATCGTGGTGAACGGTTGACTATTAGAATAACTGCGTAGCGGTTTCGATAGTACAACTGAACCTTCAATCAATATTCAACATAGCTCAATGATTACTCATTATCATTAGTGAAAACTATTTTACTTCCATTATGTCTGGACTCTACCAGCCATGATAAAACAATTGTACAGTGTTCCTCTGTTTTCAAAAACACCTCAACTTATGTTAATCTATGACAAATACAACCAACTAATTAAACTAATTTCCACAAAAAACTCTATTAACTAAAAGAATAATTATTTTTTAGTTATATCCTTGATGAAGTTATCTGTTAAAATATTTAAAAATGGTACTAATCTTCAAGAAAAATCTCATTAATAATTGGATTTAACAAGAATACGGATTTCTAACACCATTAGTTGATTCAAATTCAATATATTTCAATATTTTGATAAATCTTAAAGTAATCTCAATAGGATTATCTTCAATAGAAATGTACACATTTGCTATATTTAGTACATTTCAGCGAATCAGTCAGTCAGCTACAACGTACGACCAGGCACATATATGCATCGGTTCAGCGAATTAACAATGTAGATTAATTATAAATAATAAAAAAAGTTATAATTATGAAATAATGAGATTGTAATCAAAGTGTTTATTAAAAAGGTGAATTTTACATTGTGATTACATAGGGGATCAAGTGGTATATTTAATATGATTGAACTATAAAAGTTAGCTAAATATTTCTTATATTATTACAATTAAATTTAACATTATTCAAGAAATTTCAAAGGTTTATTTCTTTTTTTTACGTGTATATGTTGAATAAAATTTTCTTTTCAAAGAGAAACTTACTCAAATTAGTAATTTTTCATAAGTTCTGCATTTCTAGAAAAGTGATGCAATAAATTAGTGATATTTTTTGTGTAATCGTAAATTGGCTTAATTTATTTACTTGTAAATCTATAATTTATATACAATTTGATATTAAAATTTTAATTATTATTAACCTAGAAGCTTTTAGTTTGATTTTATGAGTAGATATAATTAGGAGCTATAAATATATATGTTTCGACTTTAGTGAGACTCATCAGAGAAATGAATGTTGGACTTGTTATATTTGATACTTCAACTTATTATTTTATCACTACTAACAAGATATTAAATGATCTTGTTTAAATGAGTATTACGTTAATGAATTAACATTTCACTGTTAGTTAGACAATATTAACCAATAAATATATGTCCACTTGGGTTATTATTGAAATTATAATGTTATAACTTTAACTAGGTTGGAATAGCTGTTTAGCCTAGTACCCAACGCTTTTAAAGAGTATGAATCATTATGTTAGCTACCCAATTTCCAAATATTGTGATTTGAGATTGAACCAAGCTCTATCGGTTAGTATTTGAACTTATAAATTGTATCGTTAACCAACAATATATATTATATGAACTTATATTATTTGTAAGAAGCATAATGTCCGGACTGATAAATTTATTTATCGCGTACACATGTTTATTTTCGTAATGCGTGTAAAAGTGGTAAACTTACATCAGGAAGAAATGGTGCATCCTCAAGTCCAGCCTCTAAACGTACCCAATTGATACAAGAAAACCAGTTGTGATGTTTAACACCTTCGGGACCAGCATCATCGCAACCAAGTCGACAATGTGGATCTTTTTGTAAAAGCTTTAAAAAAAGGTATGACGAAGAATGTAGATTCGATTATACAAAGCAAAAAAGAAGTCTAGTGAAATTTCATAAAATGAAAATTAACTATCACGAATGTGAATTAAGAAAGTCCTTAAAATCAAACAAGATTAATTATTACGACATGTATACTTAAGAAATACACAACACATCAACTATTAATTGAAAAAATTTAAGCAATTTTTATAGGTCACATAGATTATCAGATGAAATCAACAATATTATTATTATTCACCTAAGAAATTTGAACTAAAAGCCAATTGTGTTTAAACTACAGTATCTAATTCAATGAACTGGTTACATGTTCCTGAAAGATAGTATTTTTCCAAAGTAAAAGTATATTAATAGCCCATAAATATTAAATAGAATCCTATATCTTTTGTATTACACAAAATACCAAATGAAATTCTTTTAAAGAAAAACAGATTAGCCAAATTTTTGTATTTCGTTTTTTGTTGAATGTGTTTACCTTTGATCGTGGGTGGATGAAAAACATTCAAATCTCTTACGGAATACTATCACTCTAAAGATTTTATATACGCATACATTGTTGACAAGTATCAATTGGCATGAAATTTCGGTTTTCTACCAATGGCTTTCATTTATTAAACAATAAAGAAGAAAGTGCACATTGTGCAATCTATCAAACCATATAGATTAGCGAACATACTGTAAAGTGTTAAATGAACATTTGATCGCATGAAATGATAAGATAGCACACAATATCGGTTCCTATTAAGTGATAATTAATATAAACTTGTATATACAAGCTTAAACATACTATAATTAGAAATTCATAGCGTAAACAGATTGCGATTATATATATATAATAATTCATAAGTGTGTATCCACGACTTCGCCATAGGTAGTCGAAATGAAGACCTTCGATTTCAAGTGCAAACGCCTAACATTTAAACCACTGACCCGCGAAACAGTGGTATACATGTCTAAGATGACCAGTGCATCTTGATTTTCAATGATGGTGTATTTACGATCAGTTTATGATATAAACTACAAAAACCCTATCATCTTCACATAGTCAGTCAGTCAGTAACAACGTAGAACTTCGTACGTACGTACATCAGTTCGAGTTGCCACACCACATTAGCACAGAGATGCAGTTGTCAATTCAAATGGCGTAGTGGTAGAGGTAGTAAGAGTATAAGCAGTAATCGGGAAGATTAGGGTTTGGAGATGTTATTTAAAGAGTATAATCCAGTGAGATAAATTTGGAAAGAGAAAAAAAGGGACATGAAGAATTCAGAAGATTAGAATTTGGTAGAACACAGAGAGTGGATGCATCTGCGCCATTGCAAACGATTTTGAGCCATGTCATTCAGGGTCTCTAACCATCGGTTGCTATCATCTCGTGGTCCCCAACCAGGTAGTGTACACCTACCAACATGACTCAGTTCACTTGTCAGTGACTTCATGGACTTGTGCCATGTTTTGGTTTGGCCGCCCCTAGCTTTCTTCCAACCTACTCCTATACCACTGAACATAGCACGTCGAGGTAGTCGGTCGTTGGGCATACGTAACACGTGTCCCAGCCATCTCAACTGATGAAGTTTCACTACTTCATCAATGGATTTGCCATCCTTACCTAGTACCCGTTTCCTAACAACTGTGTTACTTACTCGGTGGTCCCATGATATACGAGCAATGTTTCGAAGACACCTATGATCAAATACTAGTAACCTACGGATACCCTCTACTCTTACCGGCCATGTTTCACTGCCATAATGTAGGACGGAACGAACTGCTGCGCAGTAAACACGTCCTTTGGTTGATAGACGGATATCTCGCCTACGCCATAAATGACGCAAGTTGGCAAAAGCTAGTCGAGCCTTCTGTATCCGTGCTGAGATTTCGTCACACACCAGACCACAAGGGCTGATGAGACTTCCAAGATAAGTGAAGCGGTCGACACACTCAACTACTTCACTCCCTATCACTAGTTCGGGTGTCGATGTAACCCAATCCTGAAGCAACATTTTGCATTTCGAGAATGGGGAGAATCGCATCCCGAACATGCTTACATGTTCTCCACATAACCCTTTACTGATAAACAAAAAGGTTTGAATTGCTTTTGTTTTGATGAAGTAACAATAGCTGAATTATTAAAGTCTAATTGTCCTCAGTGCTGTATTTGTAGCTTGAGTGCATCATAGTATCCTTCTTTTATTTGCTATCTATTACTAAACCCTACTGTATTATTTTTGTTACTATCATTTATTATTATTATTATAACAGGAATTCTACTTATTTTACAGTTCAGTAAAGCAAGAAAATTTATCCACTATGTTATTACATTTATCCAAGCTAAGACGCTAATCCTCCATGGAATTTATTGTATTTATTTTCTTCACCCAGTATTTTGTTTCTTTCTTCAACCATTAGATCATTCAATAAGTAATCAGTGAAGTAACAATAATAACAAGTAAGTTACGCTACAAAATAAATATAAAACAACCAGTTGTGTTTACGTCATAATATTGACAGGAAGTAGATGTGCAATATATAATTTGGAAAAATACAAATCGTTGTACATTATGTAAACAGACAAAGATTTTTAAATTAAAATAAAAATTATTTGTTTCAATTATTTTATTTAGTTGAGATCATGAGTCAGTTGGAGCTAGACCACTAAGGTTAGACATTAACACCATTGGATGACGGCTCATTGGTCTAGTGGTTAAGCGCTCGCGCGCAAGACTGATAGGTCCTGGATTCGAATCCCGAGAGGCGGGATCGTGGATGCACACTGCTGAGGAGTCCCACAATAGGACGAAATGGCTGTCCAGTGTTTCCAGGTTTTCCATGGTGGTTTAGCTTTAATTGGCTCATGATCTCAACTACTGAAATTTCTGGTGTGTTTAAACTAGAGATGATTTTCATGCTTGTTTGTTAATAAAAGTTAACATTATTAGTGTTATTGTGATTTTATAAATTTATTTTTTAACTGTGAATAACATCCCTGTAATCGAGTACATGTTGATGTAATCAGTATTCACTTACATTTTCTATGTATGCTAGTTAGTTGGGGATAGTTGATAAGAACCTTTGGATCTAAGTTTCATGCTAGTTGATATTCGTTAGAAAAGTACACCTGAAATCTAAAGGGAACTAATGGTCCTTGAAAGATTCGAATAAGGGTCATTCAACTTAACAATCTAGGAATTTACCACTAAGTTATTCGAGTAGCAACTGACCTCTTATAGGATTGAGTAGTGGCCAATGTCATATTCGTTTGGCTCTTTTACCACTGATCAAATTCTCTAGAATTTTCTTGATAAGAGGGGGTACACAGGTACCACTACTCAACTTTGCAAACTGAACCAGTTGCACTGGGGCTCTAAATTATCCCATAATGATAATTGAAAATCAAGTTCTTAGAATGGTTTGCAACTGTAAAAATAATATTTGTACATGTATGTTAAACGGAAGCAAAAATAATCCATATCAGAAAACCTGAAGCATTAGAAGGAATATGTCGGGGAGTTCCAAAATATTCATCGTTGAAGTGTCTCTAAAGGCCCAGAAAAGCCAGGAAACGTTTTAAGCAATCGGTGTGGAATGGAATCTTCATAGAGACATATAGAAAACGCAGAATTACATGTCACGGTTTTGATTGGATATTTATCTATACTGCTACTATATTTAGCACAGTTCCATCAATGTCTATAAGCCGAAGGTCGTACATAACTCTATAAATACAGTCGTTTTTCTGCAGATGAACTAATCTTGGTGTAAAACTTTTACTGGCGATTCGCACCTTCTCTTATTGTTTCAGCTGACTTCTAGGAGTAGTTGGGGTTATAGGAACCGATTAGGAAAACACTTTAGACGTATCAGTAACAGGTTTATCATAATACATTTTAACTGTTGAGAACTTTGCAAACGTAATTGATGTATTTCACTTTGCTTACATAATTAAGGCTGAAAACTTATGGAACCATTCAATTAACTGACGAAGCTTTGAAATCCATCATGATGATATATACGTATGCTCAACTTTCAGTAAATTTCTAGTCTCAATATTATTTCATACGATTTTATTACTGAATTTTATTAATCATTCTCAAATTACATATTATATCTTTAATTTTTCTTACAATATCGACGATACGATGATTCTAACAAACTTCTTTTTCATCATATTAGTTTACTCACTTCCTTAATATGCTGATGTAAAGTGTAGTAAAGGTTTATGACTCTAAACAGATAGACTAATCAAACAAGTAAAGTTAATTCAACTCAACGTTGATGGAAAGCACTTACATAAATTGATTTTTACAATAATAAAAGAGATTAATCGTACAATGATATAATAACTTACAGACTGACAAAATCTTTTTGAATTATCTGAAAATTTATAATTATATTCTTCTGTATCCTCACATACACGACGATCAACTTCTTCACGTCGAATACGTTCTTTACGTCGACGAAACGGTGCTTGTCCCATAATCATTTCATAAACAATACAACCTAATCCAAACCAATCGGGACTGAATGTATAACGCGTATTCATGACTACTTCAGGTGCTATATTAGTAATAAGTAAATTGAAGTTAATAATAATAATAATAATAATAATAATGGGCAACTGACTTTTGATGATAACTTAATGACGATAAAATTTAAATTCAGTGTAATTATGTCACCAAGATAACAATACACTAAATCGATTTAAATTACATATGAAAAACATACATTTTCAACCTATACATACACATGCAATAAATGTACAACATCAACCATACAACAGATTCTGTAAACAATGAATAACAATTTTCATTAAATGACTGATCGTCTTAGGTGAATTTCATTTGCAAGGTATCTAGTCATTGTTCGATTAAAATCGAACGTGTAGTTTGAAGTCAAAGGAGTAACAATAATGAGAAAGATTCAACTCAAAATTCTATTTAAACAATGAGTGTTTGAAATAAAACGATGAAAATTGTGAATACATCGTTTCTACCTGTTTACATATGATGTAAGGTGTGGGACTTTCAGCATTGAAAACAGTTGTTGATTAGCCCTGATAATTTAAAAATGCTGAGAGAAACGAAACAGTTTCGAAAATACCAAGCGTCAACAACTTGTAGGTTTTCAACAAGAATGTAGATCCCACTTCGCAGAAGCAATAAGTCAGATTACTTGGAGATAACACTGATAATCAGCTCTGAGTATTCTTTTTAATATCGAAAGAGTGGAATCATGAGTATTGAGTCATTTAGCTTAGAGGACCGTGGGAAATTATGAAGCACCTAAGAGCTGTTTAGACTTAGTTAAAAACTCCAACACCACACTCATTAACTAGCTAGAGATCAATAGAGTTTAACAGTGTTGGAAGTGGGACAAATAACACTGACTGGACTGTATAATTGTTGTGCTATATTCCGTGAACCACTGAACTTCGACTCAGTAAAATAGAAGATATAACATTCAGTTGACAACAGTGCAAATATGGTTTTCAAGTAACTTGAAATGTATTAGTTTCATCGGTGCACTACCATCATATATCTTTCCAGTGAAGATTCGAACTATGGTCCAAATTCATTAGTATATTGCAAAAATATCTTATTACAAACTACTCACTTATTATTTCTGAGCATAATTAGTAAACCTAAATCTTGCCTTTATGAATTACTCAGGTAATTATTCAATGGTAGGCTGATAATATTACAATTTAACGTGAAAAAATATAAATGAGAATTTTAAATTTTATTTATGAATTACAATCTATGGAATCAGCAATGTTTGATGTTTATTTCAACAACTCTCATATTTGAATTAAAATACTGTTCGGATTTCAATGATAACTTTTAATTCAATGTACCAAAAAGCAGAATTGACAGACAGTAGATTACCAACATCTATATACTATAGTAAAATGGTACCATAGTTCAATATTTGATAAAAACTATTGTTTAAAGAGAGATTAGTATGTCCCAAAAAAATATTTTACTGCATCTACAAAAAATAATATTATTGCACAACACATTTGCATATGCCTATTCACAGATGACCTAGAGAGCATAAGACAAAACAAATCAGAAGGAAATATATCCAAGGTCATCGTATCGAACGTAGCATACGAACTCACGGCGGGATCTCCAGCCCTTAAAGGTGAAAATTCCAATTATGCTAATAAACAAACGATATTATATATATAATAGACCAGTTACAGATAGATAAAACAAGTGAGTGCTACACTTACCCATATAACCAGCTGTTCCAACTCTTCCTTTAGCTGTACCGCCAGGTTCAATATATACGGCCAAGCCAAGATCCGAAATTCTAACATGTCCTATTTTAAAAGAATATTATGATCAATGAAACTAATTAGTAGATAGAAATGTTTAATATCTTTAAAAATATACTTGCAAAACCATCACATATACTTTGTAGCATTCCCTTAAACTCAGTAAAAATATGAAAAGGTAAGTTAGAAGTTATGACGAAAAATACCAGTTTATGGATTTCCCATTAGCATATACAGTATAATTGTTGTGAGAGAATAAGTCTTCCATTTTTCGCTTTCTCCAGGTTATTTACTAGTTAAACAGACATATGACCAGAGGAAAGAGAAAAAAGAGTATATTCAACTGGATTAATTTCATGCCAAGGCTTTTCATTGATACATTTTTGATAAATTAACTATCAAAAGACACTTTTATGTTAAGAATGAAGTGATTTATGTCGACTAAGATTTAAGATGTAATTCTTAACCCTAAGAATGTGATCTGTTTACGATGAATGAACAAGTTCTGGTGTATGAAAAAAGAGAATGAATATACAGATGAATCAGACTGTGAAACATGACTAATGTAAAGAATTACACCCCTATAAGCGTTTATACAATGCTGATTCAACTATTTAGCTAAAGATATAACAAGCAACAAGGGTGGTAGATGGATATTCAATTATCTTGAATCAATTAATTAAGATTAAGTAGATAGAACTGGTCACATCCAGTACCTTATTTAGATTTTAATTGGCGACTTCTGTACTTAAATTTATGATAAGGGTTCGACATTATTTGGAATGTATTGCACAATTCAATACAAGTAATAGATTCATAAGCTCCAAGAGTTGCCCACCTCTTGTTTACATTCTCATGACAATATTTATATTGTTACAGCTCCTAGATTTATCGTTTGTTAAATTACAGAAGCAATCATCATACGTATCAAAATAATTTAACTCATGAAATGATAAAGATTTGTAGCTCAGATGAATGCTTTTTGATATATTGTATCTGCAGAGCTCTATATGGTTCAATTCAGAAGCGTTATTTGTCGCTTTAAACAGCACTATCATAGCTTACTTCATGTAAAATTTATCCAGAACGATAATGAAAGCTTAGCGACTGAGATATACAGCTAAGAGAACACAATGCAACCAAAATGTCGACTTGTTCATTTTAAGGAAATCGACAGGAATTAATGGCTATCGAATTAATAAACACATATAACATCTCATGATTCGTATTTTCTACACAATTTCGTAAATTTTGAAAAAAACGAAATTTGTTGTGTGTTTTATGTTTAAATACGCTTGCAACATGAGTATGAAAGAACTAGTTCATTAATCGCAAAGAATCACACATGAAGTTGAAAACCAAATTCAAAAAAGCCCAATAAATATTGATCCAAACTGTTCACTAGTCTAAAAGTTATCCATTTAATAGTACAAATAAATTTTGATATGTAACGAATTACAGATACGGAAGTGAAGAGTTTAAGAATGGAATAATTGAGTAAAATATTTTCTTTTTCATCTGAATAACTGGTGTTTAATAATAATAATAATAATAATAATGAAAATAATAATAATAATAATAGTAATAAACATCTGTACTGATTATGGATTCCAGAAACCATTTTGAAAACAGGAAAAATGAATTAATTATTAAGATTTTCAGTTGGAATGAAGAATATTTTATTTATCCTAACCAATCGTTTGAATGATTGAATAAGAATCACTAGATTTGTCCGGTCGACTACCAGAGACTAAAGAGCTGTGGTAAATAATAATAACTTAACGGCTTTCCGTTCTTAATATGGTACTTCAACATAATGAAAAATATGTTTTAAATTAATAAGTACGAAAAGTTTACGATGATCCAGTCACTGAATGTATCTTTTGGTCAGTTTTGTTAATAACATATAAAAAGAAGCAGATAAACCAAACTATTTGGAACTTGCTTATTTATAACCATTATTAAATTGATATAGACTTTGAAGAATGTTCTACTGAATCAAAGATAATCCATACAAGCAAACAGAATACACGTAATTTCAATGACATGCAATGAGAATGGTCAAATAATAAAAAATTACCAACCTTGATCATCAATCAAAATGTTTTCTGGTTTTAAATCACGATAAACAATATTTTGTGTATGCATATGTTGTAAACCTAAAGTGATTTCCGCAGCATAAAATCTTGCTCGATTCTCATTGAAACCACTGCCATTATTCATATTATGTATATGAAATTTTAGATCACCACCGTTCATAATTGTAAGAACTAGGCACAAAGCATCTTTAGTTTCAAATGTATACGCCAGATTGACCTGAATACAACAGCAATAATAATAATAATAAACAGGATGAGATTATGAAGCAAACAAGTGAAAATGTACGTCTGCTTTGACTGAAAATGAATTGTTTTAGTATAATAGTGATGATAATGTATTAATCAATATCATGTCTATATCTCCAGCTTTTGTTGTTTCGATATATAATTTACTATGTGAATATTCAAATATTTAGCTATGAGCCTCAATTCAAGCGTAAAGGTTAAAGATATTACCCAACTGCCTAAAATGGAGTAGGTGAAGCAAGGTCAGAAGAATCTGTGATTCAACGATTGAAAGCTAAATGTTTTAATCCAAAAGTCGCCATTGTTGCTTTTGTAGGTGGACTCTCAGTGTCCATAAACCCGGCTAAAGCGCCGGACATTCTCTTTTCGTCCTCTCGATTTCGTAAACAACAGTAATGCCGCGACAAAGCTGTGAATGGGACTTCCCTGGTAGCAGTTGTATGCACGTGGCCATGTGAGAGCATTTCGAGAGGGAGAGCTGACTCTCCCCACTTTCGGCCGTACCGGGGCATTTGGGAGCCAGATCTACCACAAATCTACTACGTGGAGAACTACTTTTATCATTAAGTGTAAAGATAGTGCGATTTTACCAAACCGTAAGATACAGGCTTCTCAAAATGTATTAACTGTGTTGGAGATTTTTGTGGGTAATTATAATATATACTATGATTATTGAATAGCAGCTAAGTAATTATAGCACTTTCCTTCTTATAGCTAATTTTCTGGTTCAAACCTCACCTCACTTACTTTAGTTAAGATAGTCAAGTAGTCAGTAGCCCTCAAACAGAAACGGATTATATTTGATCTCAATTCCAACATTTTATCTTATCATGCTGAGCCATCCGTTCCCATAGATAATTTCCCTATCTATTTTTTGATGAATACTTAAGCCAATAGAAATCAAAAGATCATTAAACTTTCCTTGCTTTATAAAAAAACTTTTTAATACCTTTGTTTATTTGACCTAACTGTCACCATGTCTAACAGAAGTTTATTATCAGTATTATTATCATCCTGCAAAAATGAGTGTATATATATACGCGATTGTACAGCTTCGAAAATGAATTCGCCGAAAAGAGAACCCTTCGCTGAACTAATCTTTCTTATTTAATATCTTAATGGGTGCATTCCGTTTACTAAGAAATGGATGACCGAAATCTGATTATAAGGACCTATACTTGAGTGTTTAACTGCATTGGAGATCAAACTGTACATACATCGTGTAAGATTTTTCTAAAACAGATAGGAACCTGTATTGTCCCTTAGCCCTGGTGGTGAGATGCCGGAAGTAATTCGGGAAGTTTATGTGCATGTGTAGTTGTGTGAGTGCTAGTGATGACTTGATAATCGAGATCGGTCGCGAAATCTAGACCAGCTTATGCCAATGTTAGTCACTACTGGCATCGCCATGATGTTGGCCTGACCATGAATCTCCAGGTACATCGTGCTGCAAAGCGAACAGTCCTGTTAGATTTATGAATGTGGTCACACTAACCTGAGAATGTTAAAAAGCTCTTTAAGTTTGATCGTCTCCCCTTTTAGGGGATTTCCCAAATAAGGTGCCAGTGTCAAGTAAGTAATGCTGATATTGAGAAATTTGCTTGGAAATGATGTATATCACCCCGTAAATCCGTAATGTTACCTTGAAACAAGATTTAGTGGCTTGGAAAAACTTATAAGCATGATCTACCAACTGTTGGACAGTGTTTGCTAGCTCTGGAAATAGGACAGAAGTGGAGAGGTCAGTTTATGATGTGAAGTCAGAGAATGAAAAGCATCTGTTCTGGGTTCGTATGTCTTGGTATATCAGACCTTTATACACTGGATAGTCAAATCATGAAACTCAGTGATTCGTGATGTTATTGAACAGTATAGTGGCTTATCAGTCAGGGGACTCAGCTTCAAGAAGCAATTTTCATGTTCAAACCCTACCTTACTTGGTTTTGGTTGTGGAACTTAACGGTATTATTACCCCTTAAATAGAATGGTTCAAAACAGTAAATATAAAAGTATACTTAGTAAATGAATTAAATTATTACGGTCAAAAGCGACACTAGTGCCAATCGTGTTGAAATTTAATACACACACTCAAAATGTTATTATTAGGAAACCAAAATACTCTGTTAGTTTTGGACATAAAAGAAAAAGTGAAAAGTAACTCCAAGTAATTACTCAGTGAAAATAATACTTGGTGAATAGAATGGCATGACGAGTTTCTAACCAAACTAGAAAAAAATACTATCAGTTAAAAGTTAACAAACCACAAAGCGAGAATTGACTCGTTGTAATGTTTCCTTTTCCATCATGGCCATATTTTCTGCATGACGTTTTTTCATGCGTTTCTTCTCCATTTTCTTGCAAGCGTATAACTTCCCAGTTGCCCGAACTTGACAGGCACACACCTCTCCGAATCCCCCTTTGCCTAAGACTCGGTACATTCGAAAGGTGTGTTTGGTGACTGGTGTTCTGAAAGTGTGAAACAAATTGGCAATTTAGCTTGAATTCAAAAAATTCTTGTCACATCTTAAGATGTACATCGATGAGGGAAAATTAGATGAGTTATCCTACTGGCATCTAGGATCCATAAACAACAAGAATTAGCTATTTTTAGTTTCCAAAAGTTATATTTCATTATTTAGAGGTTTTATAGGACACACATCGGTGCCGTTTACTAGCCATACTTGAATAAAGCTGAATTTACTAGTTGAATTCCCCTAAAATGTTTTTCAGTAACACTAGAAGCACTCACTTTTAAGTGAATGTTATGGAATAACCATTAAATTTTTTTTATCCCTAACATCTAGATAGTTAACATTTTACTGGAAGAACCTAATATCATCAATACACAGACAGTAAGATTGTGTTACGGAAAATACAGTCTTTTAAATGATGAACCTTACACGAAATGACAAGCATTTGAACCTGTGAAACAAGCTAGAAATAGCTTGCAATCATGTATAAACTAAGTATAGTGGGAGTAGTATTGGCCAGTCGAACGATGAAAAAATTAATAAGACAGAGGCATGTTTAAGTCTACGCTTTCTCGCTTAGAGTCAACAAACAGAAAAAATCAATATCAAGGAAGATGAGAGAACTAAAACCATAACACTAACGACAACAGAACACAAAAATAGGGTAAAATGTCTGCAGTAATTGAAGTGAAGGAACAACAAACTTCACAATGTGTTTATTTAAAATAAAAGACGTTGTTCAAAAACGCTGTTTTATGATATTTCCTCTAATGTTGAGAATTAATATGACCTGATTAAAAATGCTTTCCAAAATAAACAGGATTATTAACCTTATCGGATGGTTGAAGGTATGTTGAAGTTTATTAGCTCAAAATACCATTATACATGACTTTGAATTACAATTACAGAACAGTACAACTACTACTAAGACTGACACCAGACTCAACTATAAAGTGAAAACTAAATATTTAGAAGGGAAATTTCTAACGCTACTGAACAATCAGTTGAAATACTACCACAAAATTCTTCCAAAAACCTAGAGATTTTAGTCCATTTCACTAGAACTTTAGGGAAAGTATATCAAGGCAGAAAAGATGTGAATTTGTGACAGATAAACCTACTTTTCTAGCCATTTCCATTGAAGATAGCGATTAAAGTAGACTGAATTTAGAAATTCAGAAAATGGTGAATTTCGTAAGAAATCTTCAAGGATCTTGAGGATTGAACGAAAGAGTTCTTTGTCAGGATAAGCGTCATTGGACTCCTCTAGAGCATTTAACACTGAGTTATCGTCAATGTTTCCAAGCTCATGGAACCTTTTGCCACTCTAAGAGTACAATAAGAAAAAGGATGTGTTACCATGTCTGAGAGAAACCTGCGGTAGATTTCCAACCCAATCTTTTGACGTTCGTTAGGAATGCACACCGCAAATGTGTTCTAGAGATGAAAAATACAAAGCAGGATAATAAAGCGTACAATAGAATCCACAAAATCAACGACATCCGAAATGAAATTATTGCTCCTACAGAACAACCGAAACAGTCTCTTTCCAATCGGTTGCTGCTCCACAATAAAATCATAACTCAAATCTGCGCGAGAGAGGATTAGTAAAATCATTTCGTGAATACCTAAACAGTTCTTCAAGTATAAACAATTAGATATGTGAGGGAAGGCTAGTAATGTTTTCCACTTTCTGCTTCGACCTTTGTCTCCATCAGCTCCACCTGACGTGAAACATTTTACCATATACCTTACTTCGTTTAGCCTTTATATACACCGTATTTGCAACAATATTTTCCAACTCCATACTTCATCATTAGAGAGTAAAGTAGCGCATAGCTTAAGAATGAGACGTTCACATCATGTACAATACATCAAGAAGTAATAATGAATTAGTATATATGCCAAACGTCCTCCGATTTTGACGTGATTCTATGCAGTTCTCACGATACTTCGAATCTTTTACTCGATTGACGGTCTTTGTTTATCTCGATTCTACTGATGTAGTAGGCAGCTTGCTTCTACTAGCTCAGTCTCGGGACGTGGGTGGCTAGGATTTTTTCCGACTCTTCAGTCTGAACCATCTCCAACATAAGAGCATGACTATTCCTCGGTCAAACTAATGCTCTTCAAATCTACCTACCGCAGCAAGATTTTGAGTAAATCTACCCTAACATTCTCGTAAATAACAAAAGTAAGAAGGAATTATCGCAGTTCTCTATCAAATATCAGTAGCACTTCTGAGATGACAACCCTGCTTACAAGTGCCTCAGAAACTGCGAAGTTATGATATTATCATGCCTTAAAACACCTGCCATTAGCCTAGCAGCGTATATCCAAAACATACTTGCAAAGTTTTCCTTTTATAACAGCTATTCTCCACATAATAGAAAGCAAACGACTGGTTCCAAAGTAAACCTGTCCGATAACTGCAAAATTCACTTTTTAATGGTGGAGGAGAGCACATTTTGGTTCTTACCAAATAATCTCAGCCTTTCAGCGTATCTTCGGTGACTGATGGTTATAATGTCATGATGAATAAAGATAAGTAAAACAATCCTCTCATTCCAGTAAATAATTTCAAAGCTGAAGAACAATCAGTTTAATCGACAATTTCAACACACTCATTCAATAACATAACAATACTGTTTACAACCGTTTTCATTGAATTTCATCACTGATTCTAGATTTGAACCACTAACTGCAAATCTCAAAGTGCACAACCGCAAATGGTCACAATATGGTGACCCTGGCCCCAGAAAAATCCATGTCGGCTCGAGTAAACAGGATACGTGGTTGAACACCTCACCACTCCTGGTATCAGCAGTGATAAAAATTTATGATCAAACGAAATCATTAGAAATTAATTTGACATACGGTGGTCACGGTCATTTAGAGGCAAACGCTCAGGGCTAAACAGATCAAATTTGTCACAGAACAGGAGGGGCTGGATTCCTTAACCACATTCAAATTATTTTCTCCAGGCTAGAGAGAGTTGGTGTCTATATTGCTACGGAAAAAATGTCAAGCCCACCGCAGCATCAAAGAATTGTGCTGAACAGTCTTTATTATTCCTGATTGCGTGGACCTTAGATCATTCCTCATATGAGGTACTTTCATTTGCTAAAAGAATGATTATTACTATAAATGTGAAATAACAAATGCTTAAAATTTAACTTCCAAAAATGCTGGAGCCTTCTTTGATATATTTTTTCGTGAACAAGTAATCTTGCTTTCAGAAAAGAATACCAGTTTTACAGAAATAATGGTCTAGGAATTCCTTCCAAATAGTCTTACTAGGCAGCATTGTTGTTTCATTTATCTTTTAACCTGTTGTGTATCTTAACATCTAATCGAGATTCGCATACCCGTGGTTCAATATTTCTCAGTCTCCGTTTACTGGGAATTAATTTTCTGAATCTGTCTAGCACCTATCATTGCTATATTTTTTAGTTATTAATGAACCCAGGTCGCTGACTTTAAAGCTGTTTTCGACTGCACTCGGCGTATTTTGTTTGGTCCGGTCTCATAAGGACGTAGGGGTGACAGTGAGTCGTGATCTTAAGACGACGGCCCATTGCCGATAGGTCGCAGCTAAGGGGTTTAGAACCCTCTGGGCTTTAAAATGGACATTCACTAAGTTAGATACTATTACGTTCACCAAAGTATTCACATCCTCACTGAGAACTAAGCTTGAGAACTGCGTTCAGGCTGCAAGACCTTGTTTAACGAGTGACTCGGATATTCTAGAAAAAGTACAGAGGGCAGCTACTCGTGCAATTCCAGAACTCCGGAGTTTACCATACAAAGGGCGGCTTGAAAAGCTGGACTTCTTTACTCTGTCTTATCGCAGATTAAGGCAAGATCTAGTTTTGATGTACAGAATACCGAGAAATTATTTTGGACCTAACTTGTCCTCTTTTTCTTCCCACTAGATCAGGACATCTCAGAGGACATAGCAGGCGAGTAGAAAGGCCAAGAACAAACAAAATACCCGTGGCATACAGGTTTTCACACCGAGACATCAATATTTGGAACCTGCTGCCCGAAGTAGTGGTGTCCGCACCTTCATTTGACTCTTTCAAGAGACGACTGGACACTCAAAGAAGCATACTAGAAAAGGAATAACATAGGCCGTTGGCCTTCGTTACTTGCTACACAAATCTGAAAAATGTTATTTATTGACTGCCTGGCTGAAACAGCTATTCAAATCCCTGCAGATAAAAATTTGATTCCTTTTTATCAAGAGCATTTTTATTGGTTCTTAGGCTCTGAATATCGACTTATTAATCATTCTTTTTTCCATACAGAACGCTATTTTGTGTGAGAAAAAACGTGACTGTGTTGTGCAGGATGTACTATTTGAGATAGTTTGTACTGTCAGTACGATTTGTTTTCTTTGTTTTATATAGACTAAATAAATCAAACACAGAGTCCATCTTCTGACAATTCAATACGATTAATTCAAAAAGGCTTTGTACGCTATACATAAGAATGTCGTTTGGTCTGATCAAATAAAATTTGCTTCGTTTGTCTGCCGCATTCATACTAAATACTGGAGCTTTGGTTGATACAGCCGGTGATAACTATTAACCAAATGTAGCGTAATTCTTCACTGAATTTTTCTATAGGATTACAACACCTCAATTAACTCCCAGATCGTTCACTACTTAGGTATCATGTGTCAAATCATAGTGTTGAATCTCCCACTCAGAAAAGGAGCGAACAGCTTGAAAAAAGTCCGACAGAGATCATGTAATGAATGTGCTCAATATGAGCGTTAAATCCATAATTTAGATAGTTATTATCAGGTTAGTGAGGAATTATGTTTTCAATATACGTGTGTTTATATGTAAATAAACATATTCAAGTGAATATATTCCTTCAAGTATTTCTTCATTTCGCTTTCGTACATGCATTGTTATTTCCAATAATCACTGCATTCAAAAACATTTTATCTGTACTTGTTTGGCGCTTTATTTAAAAAAGACAGTGGTATTTTTCCTCGCTGAGTAAATTTCATTGTTTTGATCGTTTATTACGTATCAAGACTACTGTTTTCACGTTAATTGAATTTTTTTTCAGTTAAAGTATTCGACTAGAGTACCGTTTTTAACGTTCTCTCAATTAGTTTTGTCGTTCGTACTCTTGAGTACCTCATTTTCAACCGTATCTGTTGGTACTTTTGGTCCAAACAATCTGCGGTTCTTCACTTTTTCGTCATTGGTTTTTGTTTGTTTCTGAGTATCATCGCATCTCGTTCCTATTTGAAAAGGACTTTTTCTAAAATGACCGACAGTGTAAAAAAAGCAGTTGCCAACGTCCGGGTTGTCGTTATCGCGTTGAAAGCGGAATGAAGTGCGACGAGTGCAAAAGCTAGTACCACGAAGTTCGCACGAACTTAACGCCTGCGGCTTTCAAACGGTTCAGTAAGAAGGGTTGTGTATGGATTTGTCAACAGTGCTGTTCGGATGCAGACAGCCTGTTAACCGAGGCCATCTAACTGGTTGCTACTGCAAAGAAGTGTTTTAAGAAGCGTAGTCGGAACACGTCAAACAGCACTCGATCTGTCGACACACAAATCGACATGAGGCAAACTAAGGTTAATTCGATAGTAGATGCTTCACGCCCGTCAAAGAGGGAAAAGTAGTCTCCAAAGGGGCCTGCCTTAAACAAAAGCCCAAGGAAAGTAGGTTCTTCTGCTCCTCGTCTCCCTGATGGGGTCCCACAGGAAACGCCTAGAAGCCGCAATCGCAATACTCGGTCGGTTTCAAGTGATAAACATAGCTTGACCCCTCAGGTCGTCGACAACCCTCCAGAATCCAACACTGGGTTTGACGCAACCGTTTTTGCTTCTCCCAGCACCCTTGACGAGTGAGCACAGGTTGAAAGAAAGAAAATAAGTAGCGACAGTAGTCGTAAAATCGAAAGCTGATCATAGCGACAGACCAGCTATTTTTCATAGAATCAAGGAGAGCGAGAGCTCTGAACCTAAAGATCGTTTTGAGCATGACATTGTGCTGATTAAGCAGCTGCTTAATCAACTTATGTCTCAAAATATCACCGATGTCACCTTGCTAAAGGTGTACAGAATAGGGAGTCTAGCAGACTTGAAACCAAATCATTCCAGAATGCTTAAAGTAGTATTCAACTCTTCGAACGAACGTGACCTAATTTTACAAAATGGACACAAATTAAGGAGTTCAGGAGTCTTTATACGAAAGGACTTACCGTTGGCAGACCGTGTAAAATGACGGGAAGCCGAAAAAGAACAACTTAGGTTAGACGCTGGTGAAAAGGACCTAAAAATTGTAAATTTTCGGGTTGTAAGGCTTCGACAGAGAATGATGCCGAAGCCACTCTGGGTGAAGCACGAAGGCACTTAAAGAGGCTTCGGATCTGTAACACCAATGCCCGGAGCTTACTTAATAAGCGATCGGAACTACGTGTACAGATTGACTCTACAAAGCCAGACATAATCGCAGTTACAGAAACCTGGCTGACACAGGCTATAGATAGTATGGAACTTGTTTTCGAGGGTTTTACGTTAGTAAGGGCCGACAGAATACAGAAGCGTAAAGGAGTGGGAGTAGCCCTATTCATTAGGAATGCTATCCCATTTGCCATTATCGACAGTGTATCCCATGAGAGTGGGACGTGTGAATTGGTTAGTCTTCGCTTGAAATGCAAGGGACAAGAGCTGCTGATTGTTTTGATCTATCGCAGTCCAAGCTGTGAGGTAAATGAAGTCCTGCTAAGCAGTCTCAATACTTGGTCCCAAAGTGGTCGATGTCTAATCCTAGGGGACTTTAATGCACCTATGGTAGACTGGGAAAATCTGCGAACTGAATCGTCAGAAAATTCCTTCGAGCAGGAACTAGTTGATGCGGTTATCACATGTGCTTTAGTGCAACATGTGAAAGAAGCGACTAGGTACGACCCGGACACTGAATCATCCTTACTAGATCTGATGCTCACTATGTGGATGACGTTGCTAACCTTCATTATATGCCACCCCTAGGTAAAAGTGATCACGCAGTTTTAATTTTCGACTTCCATATAACTGTCAGTCACGAGCACGCGTCAGCCCAATCTAGACCTAACTTCTGGAAAGCAAATATACCAGGTATCATGCACTCAACATCGTTAGTAGATTGGACAATAGACCCAGACTCCTCCATTTAAACGGCCTGAGACGCATTTCGAAATTCATACTTAAAAGTTACCACACCCCACATCCCTTGGTCTATACCAAGGGGGCTGAGAAACTCCCCACTATGGTTCAGTAGGGAGGTTCACATCCTTCTCCGTAAGGGAAGAAGAATGTGGGATAGATTTAAGTTACTGGGAAGTGATGAAACTAAATCCCAGTATAGAAAAGTCTGGAATACCTGTGCCTCGACCCTCCGTAAGTCCAGAAAGTTGTACGAAGAAAACATTGTTAAGGAATCCATAGAATGTCCTAAACACTTGTATTCCTATATAAACCAAAGGACAAGGGGAAAAGGAAATATTCCTGCTCTATGGGGGAACAGTACTGCCGCGTCACTAGTGGAGGACGACTTTGGTAAGGCTCAAGTGTTCTCAAACTACTTCAGCAATGTATACACCATAGAAGCACCCTTCCCATCAGCGCATAAAAATCCCCCCACACATACACTGGATAGCGTGACCATTAAAGAACTCGATGTCTTTGGTCTACTAAATAGGCTTGACATAGGTAAATCCACGAGGCCCGATGAATTACATCCAAGGCTACTGAAGGAATTATCTAACTTCGTTGCGAACCCTTTAAGTATATGCTTTAACCTATCCGTAACGCAGGGCCGTTTTCGAACCACAAACCCCGGTATGTTGAAGAGTAAGTTTCTGCAAATGTTTTAAGTTTTCGTTTTTTGTATGAAGTATTTGTCTAGATATGGAGAACGATACGATGTGAGGGTGATAGCTTAGAACTTCAAAATGACCTGAAGAAATTATCTGAATGGTCTCAAACCTGGTAGTTGCCGATAAATACTTCCAAGTGTATTGTGATGCATATCGGTCATCAAGGTACAGATACATACACGATGAATAACACTGAGCTACCTGTCGTCCAGACATATAATGACTTGGGAGTTATCGTTAGTCAAGACTTAAAGACTACTGCTTACTGCCGTGCAATAGCCGCCAAAGGTTTTAGAACTTTATGGTCAATACGTAGGGCTTTTGGTCATGTCGACGCTAAGACGTTTTTGACTTTATATACAGTGTTCGTACGTCCTAAACTTGAGTACTGCATACAAGCGGTCAGCCCCTGTTTAAAAAAAGACAGTGAGCTTCTGGATAAGGTTCAGATAGCAGCAACTAAGCTGATTCCCGGAATAGCGAAGCTTCCGTATGAAGCTCGACTGGCCAAGCTGAACCTGTACCCGTTGTCATATCGCAGAACTAGAGGCGACTTGGTTACAGTTTTCAAATTGCTTAGTGCCAAATTTGCACCGGATATACCCTCATTTTTCTCGTCTTCCAAAACAGAAAATTTACGAGGACACTCCAAAAAAGTTCGCAAACCCAGAACAAATTACTTGTCAGCTGACTATCGACTTTCCCATCGAATCATCAACGAGTGGAACTTATTACCTCAGCACGTGGTTGAGGCTCCATCCGTCGATTCTTTCAAAAGAAAGTTGGATGAACTAACGGACCACCATTGCCAGGACTAACACAGGCCATCAGGCCTCTTGTCCTTCCCAAACTGAAACTGATTCCAATTGTTATTATTACTTTCCTAAATATTTGTAACAGCTCAGGTTGGCTGGTTAAGAGTTCACCTCAAACAACTAAGCATATGTCAAAAAAGTATTCATTCACTTCCTTATTTTGCATAGGCGTTATATTTCCTATTATCTCATATTGAATTTTGAAAGGCTTTGTTTGGCTGAACAAATAATCCCACGCTCCACTGTGATTGCACGAAGATCTAAATAAAGACCTACTCACTACTTGTCTGGTTTCTTCTATCAATAGAACGAGGGTTTCTTAGAGGCACGAAATATTTACGTGATGTGGCCAACTTTCTGATGACGTTTACAGTTATAACACTGAATATAATATTGCCTTTTGGCGTTCGCTATATCAAATTACTGTACATCATGTGCCTATGAAAACTAGATGATTTTTCTTCATATAACTAAGACTGAAAAGCTTCCCATATTTGTCGGGAAAATTTTTGTTGATAAATGGCTAATACTTTTACATTTCGATCATTTTTTTGTGTGTATTTGCTTTGTAAACAATTGTCTTAGAGGAATTCAGAAGAAAGCAATCCATGTAAGTCAGCAACTGTGTGATTATAGGTCAGACATATCACCTCTTTTGTTCAACTAGGTCAGTACAGCTAAGAGCATATAAAATATGAAATAAGAAGTCAAGAACCCACAAAATACTCTTGGATTAACGGTTTTTGCAATAAGAAATCAACTACCGAAACTTGTTATCATTCTGTCGGTGTTGTTGTTTCCACGACTGACGAAGATAATAAAATAAAAATTTTCCAAATTATTCCACATATTGCAACAAATTGTGCAACTGTACCAAACAACCAAATTCTAAATATGATCTCAACCGACCAATAAAGAGGAAATAAAGGCAAACAAAGTATAAATTAACCAAACCACAGAGTTAATAAAAACGAAAAATCGAGTTTTTTGCCTTACGTCGTGTATTTCCGGGAAATTTGGAGAGAAATGAATGTAAAGCACCTTGTTTGAAATGCCACCTACTGTATCTACAGTTTCTGAAATCTCTCAAACATAACGTATTGTTACATAACAAAACAGAAAATTTGTCACATATAGATGTCAAATATATAGTTTTATGACCTTGAATCGCTTTTACCTCGTCGATACTTTGTTATGACTTGACCTTGATCTGTCTAGTCTAGATTATGACCTTAACGCAGTAGACTGTGTGGCACAACCTTGAGGCTAATACGCGTGAGTCCGAGATGGGGTAGAGACAGAACTATTCTAAAACCTGATTGGTTAGCAAGCACGCAAGTGAGAGAAGACAAGACAGTTGGAACACTCTGAATTCTCTGAATTCGGATTAGTGCGAAATGTACATGAATAAATAAGTGAATATCCTGACCACAACGTACGATAATTTAGAAAAATACAATTATGCCCGAAACTGGGAATTAGGGTAGAATATAAGATGCAAAATATTATGTTTAAACTACAATATTTTCGGAACAAAAAAGAGTACGGCAGTGAATGATACATAGAACGAAAACTCATGTTATGTAGAATCAAAATAGGGAGAAAAATAAATATAAGTGTTTTATAAGGTTTGAATAAAATGAAATAACGTCTCAAGAAATAGCTTTCGTAGTTGTCTGGGCTTCTTATTTCCCTGTTCACAACATATAGACATATGAAATTTGTCCTACAAAATTAATTCAGAAAACTTCAGTCAAAGTTTTCGTAGACGTAGGGCAACAATGAACCTGTTAAGCATCCCTGATGGTAATAGATCTACTTATTACGAGAGATGGAAAAAGATTTTGACGACTTTTATGGAAAAAACAGAACTCGCTTTCGCTTAGTCAACTTACTAATGAAAGCACGATCAACGGCGATCAACTTTGTTAGTGATTTATGTTGCAATAACAGCAGTTAACACAGTCTACTTATAATGAGAATCTATCAACTGTGATAGCACCAGACAGTCACAACAATGGAAAGCCTATAGATGATAATAGTGCGTGAAAAAAATGAATTTGTCAACCCACTTATTGTAGGATATAATGACGTTTACTTACGTTCTCATACGTCTGTAAACAAATCAACATGATATTACTAGTATGAGGGTTGTGGAGATCATTACGTTTTTGATCGAGATCATGAACCGATTGATGTTAGACCACCACCTTTGGAAACCTGAAAGCACTGGATGGCCGTTTCGTCCTCAGCACTGCACATCCACAATCCCGCTCGCGGGATTCGAACCCAGAGCCTTCGGTCTCGCGCGCGAACGCTTAAACTACTGGACCACTGAGCCGGCATCCAATGGTGATAGCGTCTAACATCAACCGATCCACGAAACTGCGCGACAAACTTCCATTGTATTGAGGTAGACACCTGTTTGAGGTTAAGCTAAAAGTTGATGAAAACCATGCATGAAATAGACAATTCGGAGTGTATTTAGGCGGAAAGTAGACAATTCATTGACATTTCAACACACAGAGAGTTCAAAATGAGAAATTACCCATTATTTCTTCACTACAGGCCAAAAAACAGGCAATTTGTGGTGTTTACTCATTATTTTACTTTAATTGTCGAACGCATTTTCCCGATTATTTCTCATTTGGTCGCCTTTGTTTCCCCTTTATTGGTTGCTTGGTGTATAACAATTTACTTAAGGTGTTCACATCCGGATAACCAGAGGGATAGCATGAATAGAAGATTGGTAGTTTATGGGCAGATAGAGAAACAGCGATATAAATCAATACAGATAAATAAGCACACACAGCAGAACGTTTTCGTTAATTATGGATGAACACATACAATATAACTCATAATATTATCATTAACCTAAAAATATCAGCTTAAGTGACACAATATTCGCACCATTCCTTAATATTATTTCATGTTATGGATGTAAGTCTGATCATTATCTACAGAACAAATGTTGAACCACTCTACAAAGTGAAGTAGTAACCGCACTTTCAATTTACTCACTCAATAAAAGGGACTCCCTCACGAATAAAGACGGAAAGTTATAGCACAATACATTGTTTTTCTGTTTTTCGAATACATCAATGTAACGCTGAATATTGTTATTTCTTATACCAAGTTAAATATATTCATGTTTAGGGAGCGTTAATTTAAATTCCGCGCTTACTGGAAAGTCGAGTTCTCTTGGGTTCTTGTCTCACGGGGTAAGCTAACTGACTATTGCCTGCAGTTTTGGATGACCTCAAATTTAACAACTCCCGATTTGGAACTTTTGGATAAGTATGTCGATGAGACTCCGACTGCTGTCAATATTGCCATCCCGATAATTTCAATTATGTTTTTCTTTGCATCTGTTGTTATAACCTATTTCATTGATGACCCCGGCATAAAAACTTTGAAAAATGCTTCGACAGAAGTAACCTTTCTTATCCTCGCTAAATGTTTCTCAGGATAATTTAAAGCCGATTTCCGAATCCGATAAAAATCACCTTAGGTATTTAGCAGAGCGCAAGCTTTACGTCGACATGAAGGGTCATACATTTTCCGCGTTCACACCTTCACGAACAACAACAGAGTCTGATGCACACGCCAGTCACTCGACTGGCGTGGATGGTGGACGCCGCCGAGCATGCTCTGAATCTCATGCTCCTAGTTTTCCTGAAACGAATTCGGAGACACAAGTTTGTTATGAAATTCAGATTTATTTTTAGATTATTTTACAACACATGCTAATACGTGCGGGGTATGCACACAATAATACTGATAGCTTATTTTCTGGGAATTCCGGTCGTTCACGTTCTGGGTTTAGCAATCCATTCTCCTCCTTGAAAAAGTATGTGTGCATTTTTCATTTCTTACTTCATGCAAAGGCCTAAATCCACAAACGTTGAGACTCAGGAATGCTGAATCGCGCAGACGCAGTTCAACATTGAGCATAGATTGGATTTATAGCGTATTCATGGTATATATCTACAAATACTGTTATTATATTTATCCTGTTGTTAGATAAATAATAATATCCTTGAAATAATAATCTCTGTGCTTTTTACAAACGTTTTGATTTGACCTTCTACAATCATCAATAATACATATCTTGTTTCCTTAACCGACTTTAATTTCATTATGCATTAACTTATATTCATATGTTTTCTCCATTTTGTGTTCTAATGGATATCTTAGATTTTGTATTTAAATGTTTCCCATTACTCTCACATGCCACACTGTTTGGGGGTTGTTCTTTCGGTAAATGAAATGATGGAAAATAAATATATGATAATACGTATCTTCGGATTATTTCCAGCGTATGTATCTTAGTTCATAGCTTGAGATTTCTTTTATACAAGGGTAATCATTCTCTGCGCTTGTTTTTGGATTATTTATTATTATTATTTATTATTATTATTATTATTATTTATTAAAGAAATTCATATCGAAAGCAAAAAAGGATCGTCCTCATTCCGTCAAGAGGAGTATGCGAACGCGAAAATATTGTCTTGCTGGCAAAACTAGGTTGTATCGAAAAACGAACTGAATACTGTTTTAGGAAATCACCTCGTATAATCCTTTGTGTTAATAGTCTGTCTGAATGCCCTTATTCAGGCATCAACCAAAAACGACACGTTTTTGTTTTAATTCTATCGTTGTAGGGGGGTAAGTTTCAGTTTGGAAAGCACAGGAAGCTGAGTAGCTGGTGTTACTCCTAGAAATAGCAGTCCCTCAGTTGATCCAACTTTTTTGGATTCATCGACAAATGTTGGAGTAACGAGTTCCATTCATTGATGACTCTGTGGGAAAGTTGATATTCAGCTGACAGGTAATCTGTTCTGGGCTCACGAACGTTTGTAAAGTGTCCATCTAAATTCTTTTTCAAGAGGCAAGAAAAGTGAGGACACGTCAGATGCTTTTCAAACCAAAACACCACCAGTCGATGAAGAATTTGACAATTGTACTGAGCCATGTTCAGCCAGTTAGCTACAGTGTAGGGCCAAACACATATGTGCATCGGTCCAAGTTGTCATACGTCATTAGCACAACAAGATGATCACCAAATTCATAGAAGTAGTTAATTCAGTGGTGGTAATAGATAAAAGAAAGGTTGCATATCAGGACATAGTACAGGAAAAAAGACATACTTCGTAGAAAGAAAGATATCAAAGAATTTTAATCTCACAATTTAACGGAAGACAGAAAGTGTATACACCTACGCCATTGTGGTCGATTCTGAGCCATGTCACACAGAATCTCCTACCATTGGTTACGATAGTCACGCGGACCCCAATCAAGTAGTCTGCATCTACCAACATGACTCAGGCTAGAAGTTAGTGACTTCATGGACTGATATCACGCTTTAGTTTGACCATCCCCAACACTATCCAGCGTTGCACGTCGTGGTAATCGATGTTCAGGCATACGCAACACGACCCAACCCTCTCAGTCGATGAAGATTCACAATCTCATCAACTAATTTACCATCATTCCTTAATACCCTGCGTCTAACCTCACAGTTACTTACCCGGTGATCCCAGCAGATGCGAGCAATATTTCTAAGGCATCTGTGATCAAATACCAGTAGCTTACGAGTATATTCTATTCTAGCCATGTTTCGCAGCCATAAAGTAGAACAGAGTGAACTGCTGCGTAGTATACTTGTCCCTTAATTGATAGACGGATATCTCATCATCACCATAAGTGTCATACGTTGGCAAAAGGCAAACAAGGGTTTTTGGGTCCGTGCAGAGATGTCAGATACCAACCCATTAAGATCGATCAGACTCCCAATATGAGTGAGGTTGTCAACGCGTTCGACTACTTCACTCCCTATCCTTAGTTCAGGTGTTGACGCAGACCAGTCCTGAAGCAACAACTTGCATTTAGAGGGAGAGAAGCGCATTCCAAACATTCTGGCATTGTTGCTTAGTGCTACCAAAAGACTGCATTTTATCAGCGTCTTCACCAAACACGACTATATCATCTGCGTATTCTAAGTCGATAAGTGGACCTCTTGGAAGGAGATCAATACCCGAGAATTCAGTAGATGAGAATGTTATTTCCACCAATAGGTCTATGATGAAGTTAGACAAAAATGGAGAAAGTGGACAGCCTTGACGGACACCACTTGAGGTTGCAAAAGCAGATGACAGTTCGCCATAAGCTCTGACTCGACTGGTAGTGTTCGAGTAAGGGCCTTCACAAGGTTTATGCACTTCTGAGGCACACATTTTAATAACAAACATTACTACAGGACCTCTCGGTCAACTGTGTCAAATGCTGCTTTTAAGTCAAGAAAGTCCACTATTGTCGGACGTCGATAAGCATGCATGTGTTTTAGAACCTAACGAATCGTGAATATGTGGTCGATGCAGCCACGGCCAGGTCTGAAGCCAGCCTGATTTTCTCGTGTTTGCAGTTCACGAGTCTTGGTTAGGCGCCCGATAATTATTGATGCTAGTATTTTAGATGCTATATTAGTCAAACTAATCCCTCTATGGTTATCACAGGATGATTTCGACCCCTTCTTATATATTGGGATACTCGGTGATTGTGACCAGTCAGATGGGTTTAAGCTCAATTCCCAGATTTTAGCTAAAATATTTGTCAACCTAATCGCTAAAATTGAACCACTATCCTTAAAGACCTCTGGAACCGATCCATCTGAATCAGCTGCTCTTCCTCGTTTCGGATTGGCTATAGCTTTCTGAACTCCAGATGGAATCGGGGGACCTACTTTAATGTTCCATTCAAGCTCTCTGGGAATGGTGGGTAATTGTAGAGTAACTGAAGGTCTGCTGAACTGCTCCTTAAAATGTTCCGCTCATCGTTCTAAACGTCTTGACTAGGAGCAGTTAAGAGTGTCATGTTTTTCCGAGATAGTCTCACACTTGAATTTTTAGTTCTAGTTTCTTTTATTAGTCTGAAGAACTGTCTTGTGTTACCTACAGCCACCTTTACCATCTCTTTTTCTTTCGTTGCCCACCACTGCTTTCGGTCGTTCCTTAGACGTTTTGTTAACCTAGATCTGATTTGTTTTCTCTCTTAATCGTGTTCAGAGCCTGATAGGTATCACAGTTGTTTCCACAACTGTTTGTGTATCTTTCCAAGCAGCATCTAGGTCAGCCTCATTTTTAGAACCACCTAAGTGTGACTTCAGTTGTCCCTGGACCCTACTTTTTGTTTTCTCATTCCTCAATTCAATTCTAATGGGTCTTTTTAGTGTGGCTTTTTTGCGTCCAGTGAGGCGCAAGCAGATGCGTGCCTGAATTAGAGCATGAATGGAGTCAAAGTAGGTATTTCAGAACAAGTGACAGTCTACTATCAAGCCTCTCCAACGATGACTGATGGCAATATGGTCTATTTGATTCCAGCGTTGGTTTGATGCAGGAGGTCGCCATGTTAGACGGTGTCTCTCTTTATGCTTAAAATTTGTGTTTGCTAGGAATAAACGGTTGTCTGAGCACAGTTGCAGCAGAACATCAATATCAGCCTCTGCGGTATGAATCATGTATTTTAAACATACTGGGTTTATGTACGAACCAAACAGACCACATCGCACCATAAAATAGAAAATAACATTTGTATAGGAGCTAGTCAAATGTGGCTGTGAGTGTGGGAGACTGTAACTAATATACCAGGCATAACTCAAGAATGGCAAATCGTATAATAATAGTCTGGGTCGAAATAAAGCTTATAATAAGAGGACTGTGAATATGCATAGTTTCGTTGCTTGACAATTATGCAGTAGGAATGTACGTATCGTATTTGCCCATAGATCTCAAAAGTTACCACTCATAGTTCTCGTCAGGATATAACATTTTTCCACTGTCGTTACTAGATATTCTACATATTTCTGCCTGTCAGCTCCAATGCTCCTCTTCACTTGCTTGTTCGCTTCAGTGTATTCAGCTTGTGCCTCCGCTCTTGTTCAGCTGTTGTTAATTGCTGTCCGAACTATATTTAGAGGATAGTACTCCGGAGAGTACGATATTCAAACTACCACAAAGATTACCTAATTAAACTCCTTATAAAATTGGTATGTGGTAGTGAAAGTAAAATATAATTGCTGAGTATTAAATATGTGATTTCCTTTCACCTCATAGATTTCTACTCGGGAATCACTGAGATTATCTGCTTGTAATCATGTTGAATAAAGTATTATTTAGTATTAACTCTATCAACTGGAATATAAACCATACCTGGGCTGACTGTTGAAACCTTAGTCGATGAAATGACATTTGGTCTATAGTTAAATGATCAATCGAATTTATCATAACTCCATTTCAAAGTTTACAGTTAATAAGGTCAACTGAGTTTCATGTTATCAAATAACTAATACTTGTATATATCTATAGGAAAGTTTAAATTAGATTAATGATTTTTTTACAAAATGTCCATAATGCTAAAAGTGCATTGGTAATTTCCCGTAGAATCATAGCTGAAAACCGCAAACAGCTGTTCTATTCCCTAGAAAAGCAGCTGACATTATGCTTCGTAATTGGTGTCATAAACTACTCAATATGATATTGAAATGATTAATTATTTTAATAAAAGAAATTAACTGGAATTATGATATAAAAAGAATTTTCTTGAGAAGTTAGACAAAAAATAAGCAAGTTTTGAAAAACGTTGAAAATAGACGTTCATGGATCTGAAGACGTTTGAAATATCAATAAGATCAAAATCTTCATTTATTCTAAGAGGTTTGATCAAGTTAAAGTGATCTCAACTACTTTCATAATTTAGATGCATATAATTACAAACCAGATCCCAGCGGAGGAAGAAATCAGGAAGAAGCGCTGGAAGTGGATAGGACACACATTGAGGAAAGCACCCAACTGCGCCACAAGACAAGCCCTCACATGGAATCCTCAAGGCCAAAGAAAAAGAGGAAGACCAAAGAACACATTACGCCGGGAAATGGAGATAGACATAAGAAGAATGAACAAAAATTAGATGGAATTAGATAGGAAGGCCCAGGACAGAGTGGGTTGGAGAATGCTGGTCTTCGGCCTATGCTCCATTGGGAGTAACAGGTGTAACTAAGTAAGTAATTACAAATGAATAGGACTACCTAGTTTAAAAAAATTTAATACAATTGTCATTGAAAAGGGAATTATATCAAGTAGGAAATATGGATAATAATGCTTTACTTCTATTCATTGGAGAGCGTTACCTAACGAATGTTATATAAAGTAGAAAACTTGTTTCTAGATATTTCTTCCATAAGATAAGAGTCGTTAGTCTGAGAAAACAATTGAAAAAGAAGGCAAACTGGGCTAGTCTAAACCGATCATATGTTGCTGGACAGTTAGACAAGTCACAAAAACAAATAGCAAGTTGGAAACATAAATATATAGAATCTTTCATAAATAATTGGTTTATCCTTCTGGTTCAGCACAGCACCCAAATCCCACACAA